TAGAGTTAAGAACGTTATTAGCCACCACATGGGTGCTAAGTAATGGGTTTCATCATGGCATGCCCTTTCGGTCCATTTTTTTTTTTTAAAGTCCTTTTGTCTCCCTGTAGCCCCAGCTGGCCTGGAACTCACTATGTAGACCAGGCTGGCCTTGAACTCAGAGATCCATTTGCCTTGAAAGGTGTGTGCCACCACGGCTGGCTCTCTTTCCTTCCATTAAAAAAATTTGTTATTTTTATTTTATGTGTATGAGTGTATTGCCTATATGTGTATAAGTGCGCTCATTTTGTACAATGCCTGTGGAGGTCAGAAGGGGGCGTTGGATTCCCCTGGAACTAGAATTGTTGGACGGTTGTTAGCCGCCATGTGGGTGCTGGGAATTGAATCCTGGTTCTCTGCAAGAGCAGCCAGTGCTCTTAACAGCCAAGCCATCTCTCCAGCCCCTCCCCTCCTTCCAAGTTTTTGAACAGGGACTCATGTATTGCTTCAAACTCACAATGCAGTCAAAAAATGACTCTGAATTTCTAATTCTCCTGCCTCCACCTGCAGAGTGCTAGGATTACAGGCATGCACCACCACAACCAGCTTTTCAGCACCGGGGATATTACATATGTTAGGCAAACACTCTACCAACTGAGCTACAGCCCCATCCCCTCATCACGACATTTTCATATTTTCACGTACAAGTCATATTTTGCTCTACCCTTCTCCAATACTCCCTGTGCCCCTGCCACCCCTATACTAGGAAGTCTTTGCTGTTGTTGCTAGGGTTGGTTTTTTTGTTCTTGTTTGAGACAGGGTCTCACGGTGTAGCCCTAAATGGTCTGGCACTGTCTATGTAGATGAGGCTGTCCTTAAACCTAGAGATCTGCCTGCCTCTGCCTCCCCAGTGCTGGGATTAAAGGTGTGTGGCACCCTGCCCTGGCTATTCTGTAACTCTCTGTGTAGATGAGACTGTCCTTAAACTCAAGAGATCTGCCTGCCGCTACCTCTCCAGTGCTGGGATTAAAGGTGTGTGGCCACCCTGCCCTTCTACTAGGAATTCTTACAATGTAGATATTCAGTCTCTGGGATCCTGGTTGTTCACAGATGTTTCTGCAGCTGACAGAACACAGCATCCCTCCAAATCTACTTTACCTAACCACAGGCACGACTCACCTTTGCTACCAGTGATAACTGGTACATTCCGTGGTCGAGAGCGGCAGTCAAAGATAATTGGTTTCTGTACCCAAGGGATGAGAAAGTGAGTCCCTTCCCCTACTACGATGTCTTGTACCCCACGGAATCGGTCAAAGATGACAGCTCTGTGCCCAGCATCCACTAGAAAGGAAGAATAAAGATGGGTTAGAAAAACTCCGCCACTCTTTAGCCAAAAGAAAGAGGCAGAGATTCCTGCCCCCAACTTGAGACAGGGTCTCACTATGTAGCCCTGGTTGGCCTCAAACTCAAGATACCCTCCACTTCATTAGTGCTGGTATTAAGAAGTGTGCCACCAGATCCTGGCTGAAGGAGCTACTGTCTGTCTTTTCCTTTTTGAATTTAGAATTTTTTCTAAATACTTCCACTCTGAAAATGCTCATGAAAAAGTTGTATACCATCCAGATGTGGTGGCACACATCCTTCATCACCTGGGAGATGAACGCATGAGGATCAGGAGTTCAAAGCCTGCCTCAGCTACATAGCACACTGGAAGCCAGCCTGGGCTACACGAGACACTGTCTTAACAAAAAACCAAACCAAACCATGTACCAGGTATATAAAATCTGTTGCTATTTTGAAGGTTATAGAATATCAAAGTTGGAAGGAGTCTTACAGAAAAACTAGTTCATTCCCTTTGCTTGATCAGTGAGAAAGCTGAGGGAGGAGTGGCTTACCTAAGATCATATAGAAGTCAAAGAAAACATGGCTTAAGCCCCGGGGCACTGTTAAACGATGGGTAAAGCCATCTCAAAGCTTACTCTGGGCAAGGTCACCCAAACTGGTCTAGAGTCTTTGCCAGGTTATTTCATATACAGAAGAGAACTAATGAGCTCTCCATGTGAGCTAGCCAGATGAAATCCTGCCACTCTGCAGAGGCATCTCGATGATGCATCACTTCAGATCATTTAAGCATTTAGAAACATAAGACCAGCAACTGGCTGGAAGGCTGCTTTTGAACAAAGGCTAGAAGAGCATCTACAGTTAAGACAGCGCCTCTGATAATATACAACCATATTTTGTGGGGTAGTAGCAGGAGAGCCCCATTAGCTACAAACACATTCAGATAGCAGCTGGCATCTGGAAAGTCAAATGGGCTATGAAGATCAATAGAAATCTTCCAAAAACCACCACCCTCCTCCAGTGCCTCACCATTATACAAGGCAGAGTTCACCACGCCTCCTGCGACGGCTAAGGCCAGGCCCAACTTCCCGATGGATTCAAACACTTTGGCGGCCATGCTTCCTTCTGCTGGACACACTCACACCTAGAAAAGGTGTAAAACCAAAACATCTTGATACCAAATCCTCAGAGACATGACTCTGTGAGGCACAGCATTCACTTTTCATGCTGAGTCTCCACATCATCACTCACTGGACACTACATGACACTCTTGTAAAGCGTACCATGCTTTGCTTTTGCAGGTTATTTTCTTTAGAACCATTCACAAGTCTGAGACACTTGGCTCATCATGGGAACAATGCACACGGAAAACTTGGTAGCACAGAAAACAACACTCCCATTTCCTGGACAAATAGGCCACAAGAGAGGCAGGCTGTATGTGGTTGGTTCTGTGCAATTTTGGTTTGGAAAAATAATTCAAAGCATAGTGCTACAGCAATGATGCCAACAACAAAAACTGATAGTAACTGTTAACATTTCAATAAGGTATCTTCTAATAGCAATTTATTTAATCTTCACAATTACTCTATGAAGACTATTACATGTGATTACACTAAGCGGTTACACGAGGAGGCAAAGGTCAAATGAGGAGGAAGAACCAGGATCAGAACACGGAGGAGCGAATTTTAGAAAGCATGGCTGAACTCACCATACTTGTGGTCAGAAAGGCGGGAGGCGCGGGGCGCAGCGAGACTGAGCTCCGAAGGACAGAAGGTGGGGCGGCAGTGGGGTGGGTGGGAAGCACTGGAGCTGACAGCCCAGAAACCACTTAGCCTTGAACTTTTCAATGCCCCACCCCCACGTCGCCTCTGTCCCATCCCCAAGTCCTCCCGCCCCTCCTTTCTAGGCCTCAACTCCGAGTCTATCCCGTCTTCTCCACGCGCATTTACCTTCTCTCCCTGACACCAGGACACCCAGTCCTTTCCATTTCTAATAGCTTCTGGTTTTTTTTCCTTATCCTGCCTCCTCCCCCCTGCCCAATTCCCGGCCTGTCCTAGACTCAGCCCCTTCCCTCCTCCACAAGGAGTACCCACATGCACCCCACTCGCCCAACATGTGTACTGGAGCGCAAAGGAGTGCTGCAGAGAGGTCTAAAAACAACCTAGACCGCCCCAACGAAGCTCACCTGCATTCACTCTGACCTCCACATGAATTCTCCAGTAGCGCATATTGCGCTTGCGCCAGGCAGCTCCTCCCTATTCCCGCCCCCTCTCCAAGACCCGTGCCTTCGATTGGTGGGGCATATCGCAATGCGATCTGGGAAGCGAGGTTTGCATTCTTCCTCTGGCCCTGCGGCCTATCTCAAGTGAACTACAATTCCCGAAAGGCCATGCAGCGGCGTGCCCGCGCAGGAAACCCTTTTCTCTTTGGTGGTAACCGGTGGGATGTTGCCGCAAAGTCTTTCGGGGGCTGTAGTTCTTTGGTAACAAATGCCCGTGCCTGGTCTATACGGCCTTTTGGGATTGTTAGCCGAGGATCGCCCGGGCCCTGTGAAAAGGGCTGGGCTTCCATCTGGCGGCTGGAATGGCGGGACACCGTTCTGGGTGGGAAAGTAGACGGGTGGGCATTTTGGAAAAAGTTGTGGTGACACAACTGATGGACTGAGGGGCTTTGAAGGACGCCAAGACCTGTCTTTTCTGAAGCCTGTGTAGGACCTCCCTCTGAGCAGACCAGTGGAGAAGAGCCTCAGGGTCATGCTTTGGGAGAGCAAAGGGACTTGACTTAGAGTCCAACTCTCCTGGACACAATTTTAAAAAACAGTTGTATTTGTGAAAATTGCAAGAATGGTTTGGAGAACATGTGTATCGTTTCTCACGTTCACTTATTTACAGTTCGCTCTATTTGCTTTATTTTTGTTGCTCCCTTCCCTCACCTTTCCCCTCCACCCTTTCCCTTCCCTGTCCCCACCCCACCCCTCCCCCGCAAACCCCCATCTCTTAATACTCCTCCTCTCTGAGAACAAGGACATCTTATTTCCTTCTGCTTTCCAATTTTGTCAATGGATCCAGTAATGAACTTTATACACTCCTCCTCAAGATACAATAAAAATCTTTTTAAAACTCTAAAATAAATTATTGTGTTTATTTATCGTATCTCTTCAGTCTCCTTTAATCCACATTTTTCCTCAGCCTAACTTCCTCTGGTATTACATAAAGATGCGTCTCATTTTGGGTTTGTCTGATGTTTCCTTCTGATTAGATTTGAGTTTTGCGTTCTTAGCTAGGATAATACATATATGATGAGAAATTTAATTTTAACAAAATCAGCCCCGTTTCTGGATTCTACCAGGATTGGATTCTTTCTAGTTTTCCTGCCTTTCTATCCTCAACACCTTTCTTCCCTCCCCTATCCCCGTAAATCGTCTGGAGATAATCATGGCAGCACCATCAGGTGGTATGGGTTTGTCCTAACCAACCACAACTTTTTCCTGTGACCACTAGAGTCCAGGAGAGCTGCAAGTTTAGTCTAATGTCTGCATTGTTCTTTTTAAAAAATGTACACAGTAGGTGCTCAATAAGTGTTGAATTAATCATTCTTGTAAACTGGGAAGCAAAGGAAGAAGCAGGTGGCAGGGGGGGCTTGTGGGCTTGGGTTACTTGTAGAAGGAGAGAGAGGGAGGAGGAAAGGTAAGCAAACTGAGGAAGGTATGTGGGAATAATTTCACTGTGATGAAGCAAAGATTAGGAATAGAGCAGAGTCAGTGTGTCAGCTTTGTGAGTGGCTCTAGTTTGTTGCTACAAGAAACATGTTCCCATTCAGCCCCTCTCCTCAGCCACCTGTATAGATTGACAATAACAGATATATGTTAAAACCAGGCGTGGTGGCACATGCCTGTAGTGCAAGTACTTGGGAGGTGGAGGCAGGAAGATAAGAAGTTCGAGAACCAACCTATGCTACACACAGAGTTAGAGGCCAGCCTACACTACATGAGGCCCCATCTCAGAAACAACACCAGTATACATCCTGCACACATATATGTTGAACAACTACCATGGACCTGTTGCTTCATAAACACACAACCATGTAAAATTATGTGCACACACACATTTACATTCAAAAACATGAAAGCAGAAGGACCATTTGGGCGAAAGGAGACCATCATGAAGGGGAGAAGGGATGAGGAAGGGTAATAAGGGGTGAACATGAGCAAAGTACAATGATAGATGTGTAAAAACTTTCCAAATGAGACCCATTATTTTTATACTAAATAAAAACTTTTTAAAAGTCACCAGAAAATAAAAATGTAAATACTATAAAATCAAATATCTGAAGTGGGTAAAAATTAGTAGCAAAGAGTCTCCTTGGATAAATGAACCATGGGTTTGAGTTTTAATGCTCGTAAAGGCTGTAGGCTGTCACACTGCAGTGAAACTCTGCCAAGGCCAGGGATTTGACTCAGGGGCAGGGCACGTGCCTACTATATAGTAGATCCTGGGCTCAGTCCTTGGCACTGTAAAAAAATAAAAGTGCTAATAAGGTATTTCAGAATGTAGCCTTTAATTCCAGCACTCAGGAGGCAGAGACTGTTGGCTCTCTGTGAGTTCAAGGCCAGCCTGGTCATAGTGTGTTCCAGGCCAGCTGGGGCTATAGAGAGACCCAGTCTCAAAAAGACCAAAAAAAAAAAAAATTTCAGAATGTATTGAAAATTCGTATTTGCTTGAAGATATGTGGTGATATACCTATTCAATAAATACCTATGGAGTACTTAGTAAAAATAAATATCTTGCCGGGTGTGGCTTTAATCCTAGCACTTGGGAGGCAGAAACAGGTAGATCTCTGTGAGTTCAAGGCCAGCCTGGTCTCCAAAATGAGTCCCTTTGCGGAGGGGGTGGAATTCAGTGACTTAAAGCCTGATTTCTGACCCTCGTGCTAGTCTAGTATCCTAGCCAGTCAAAATGGGCATTCTTACCAGTTAGGACAAAGGGTGAAAAGGAGATTAGAACCAACAGTGTCTGCCAGAAAGATCTATCTGGGACAAGCTAGCCAAGGAGGCCTCTATGACAAGATAGCATTTACCACAGGATATAAAAAGGTGAGATGTGGAGAGGGCCATAGGGGTGGAATGAGAGCACTTGGGGAAAAGATCAGCATATGGGTGGCAGACATGAGGCAGGGCAGAACTAGGAGGTTGGGTTGGGAAAGTCACTGAGGGCAAGAGTAGAGGTTCTAGTTACTTTCTGTTGCTTTGATGAAAACAGTCGACCAAGACCAATTTAGAGGAAAGGGTTTATTTGGCTTACAGCTGACAGTCCATCATCAAGGAAAGCCAAGGCAGGAACTCAGGGCAAGAACCTGGAGGCAGGAACTGAAGCAGAGACCATGAAGGAATTCTGCTTACTGGCTTGCTCCTCTGGCCTGTGCTCAGCCTTTTTTCTTATATAACCCAAAAGCACCTACCCAGGGGTGGCACCACCTACATTGGGCTGGACCCTCCCACATGACTCAACAATCAAGAAATGCCTCATAGACATGCCCACAGCCCAATCTGATAGGGGAATTTCCCCAGTTGAGGTTCCCTCTTCCCCAATGTGTCAAGTTAACAACGGACACAATACAGCACAGTAGCCAAAGGTACCAGCTCCCATTGACTATAGTGCACGGAGACACTGACACAAAAGGGCCAGATAAATGTAACCCAATGACAAGACATCATTTCTGAGAGCCAATGCCATGTCACACTGTAGTTGGCAGTTGTCTATTTGGGGGTGGGACCAAGAGTCTTAGACCTCATCAGATCCCATGAGCTATGAGAAGCTGTCTGTGGCTACTTCCCTGGAGAACAGGCAAGTGAGTGTGAAAAGGGCCTTGTAGTATCTCTCAAGACTCATTGTGTTCCAAGAGGATCATAGAGCATTCTGCCAAGATTAAGATGCTGTTGAGCTTCTTTCCAGCCTTGCCTAGATGGTGTGCAGATGTGTCTGATGGCTGGGCCACCATAGTGGAGCCATTTCCCTACAGTGCAAAGAACTTGAGGTAGGTCAGAGCTTGGTCTGCTGAAGGTATCAAATGAAGATGAATGTGGCTGGAGCAGATGGGAGAGCTACACAAGTTTACCACAGGGAAATAAGCAAGCACCAGCTACCATCGGTAGAAAGCTATCGTGCTGGAAAGCTCTGATTTAAGTGTACCAAGAAGTCCCTGTAAAAAACACTAGAGTGGGATCATTCATTTGAGGGGAAAACAGTAAACAAACCCAAAAGAAAAATCTATGGACTCTAACCCCAACAAAAGAACCCAGGCAGATCACCCCCCAACACAATGGTTCTTGGACTTTGTTTTGTTTTTTAAAGTTTAAAATCAGTGGTTCCAATACCCTCTTCTGACCTTCACAGGCTCCTGTATGTGCATGGTGTACATGCATACACTCAAGTCCACACATACACATAAATATATATGTATATATATTTTTTAAATATTTATTTTGGGGAGCTGAAGAGATGGCTCAGTGGTTAAGAACACTGACTGCTCTTGCAGAGGTCCCAGATAGGGTTTCCAGCACCCACATGGCAGCTAACAACTGTCTGTAACACTAGTTCCCGGGGAACTGATACCTTCTGACCTCTTCAGGCATTGCACAACATGGGTGCACTTACATCCATGCAGGCAATACATTCATACACATAAAAAATAATTAAAATATTTTTAAAGATTTATTTCCTTTTTGTTGATATGTATGTATGTATGTCTCTCTATATGTTTCTAAATACATGTGAGTGCATGTGCCTGCAGAGGCCAGAAAAGGATGTTGGATCCTCAGGATCTGGAGTTAGAGGAGGATGAGCTGCCCAGTGTGACTGTAGGGAATTGAACTCTGGTTCTCTGGAAGAGCAGGAAGTGTTTTTAACCTCTGAGACATCTCTCCAGTCCTTAATTTTTATTTTTGACAGTGCTGAGGATTGAACCCAGGACCTAATGTATACTAGGTAAGCACTCTACCACTGAGCTACATCCCTGCTTTTCTTTAAATACTTTTAAAGTTTTGAAAATTTATTTTTATTTTATTTTTTGTGTATATGAATGTTTTGCCTGCATGTATGTAAGTGCACTACATATGCACAATGCTGAAATAGGCCAGAAGAGGGCATCAGATCCTCTGGAACTGGAATTACAAATGGTTGTTAGCTGCCATGTGGGTGCTGGGAACTGAACCCGAGTCCTCTGCAAGAGCAGTTAGCACCCTTAACTGCTGAGCCATCGCTCC